TGTTATACTTCTACATTTAGGGCTTCATGTTATGAGTATTATTCGTGCCTGCTGAAATATGGGTCTGAGTATACGCTGTTCCAATTGGTTGACTTCTATTTTGATTTTCTTGATTCATTTTGAGAAATTAATTCTGTTCAATTTTATTTAATTACCTTACTGTAACGCAAAGTTGAATAAAACCACGGCTTTTCTTCCCCGTTCCTTATTTGTGTGGAGCTATATCTCGTTCTACAGTAGCAGTAAGTTTGATGCTGACATATTTCTCTCAACTGTTGGATTATTGTTATCCATCTTAATAGATGGTTAAAATTTCCGAGCCAGCTTTGACCAATTAATTTTACTTTTCTTTTTGAAATTTTGTCCATTAAATTGATCGTAACAATAACGAACCCTTTATCCACCTCTTGGAGGTATAATTTTGTGTATTATGTCTTATTTATGAGATAAGTTAAACTAATGTTTGTCTTAATACATTTTGCTCGTTCATTATGCAGAGAAATAATTTTAGGTGAATTACCCTGGCTATTTCGGCACTATGATGAGATTGATCAAAGTGATTTGGTTTCCGATTTTGATATTACTCCTGTTAGAGAATGGAAGAGGGATAACCTCAGCTTCCAATTACTTGATTGGGCTCGGAAGTTATGACATTACTGGGCCAGCTGCTGATGTCAACATGATGGGATATGCTAACATGGAACAGATTGCATCTGGGGTTCACTTCAGATTGCGAGCTCGTACGTTCATTGTGGCAGAGCCAAATGGAAACCGAGTTGTATTTGTAAATCTTGATGCTTGTATGGCCTCACAACTTGTGACAATAAAGGTCCTCGAAAGGTTGAAGGCAAGGTAGTCAAAGCCTCCCTATCAAGTTGTCTCCTACTGAAGTGAATTTTTCTTATATCGTCAATCCCAGATGATTTTAAAGTAATTTTTGCTGATACTTTTGCACAATGATCTTAAATTGTGGTTAATCTGATTGAACACTGCCATTCTTGCTATTCCAGGTATGGAAATCTATATACAGAAAAAAATGTTGCTATCAGCGGAATTCACACACATGCTGGCCCTGGAGGTTATCTTCAATATGTTGTATATATTGTAACATCTCTTGGCTTTGTGCGCCAATCATTTGATGTCCTTGTTGATGGCATTGAGCAGAGTATTATACAAGCTCACAATAGCCTTCAACCTGGATCAATATATGTGAACAAAGGTAATGATATTAGGTTTAACATTCCTAGTTTGTTAATGCTAAAAGTAATATGTACTAGCTTCGTTATTTATCTCACATTATGGTGGTTCTATAGCAACTGCTTCATAGTTACTACAAAGAGTAGAATAGAGTACCATATTACTTATTCTCTCTCTCGTAGTTTTGTTCAACCATATGGCAAGTACTCTAATGGAATAGGTTAATTAGTGGAAAAATGCAGACATCCTCTTAACTATGGTTAAAATCACAGCCACTTGTAGCATCATTAATCTCAGAAACACTTCCTTAAACTATTTTCATTTCCATGCACCTCGGTAACATGCTTGTGGCCCTTAACTAACCCCCTTACTCACTGCAGCTTTAAATTACCAGCTTTATCCTCGATTGATGCTACTTTGATAATTAATACGTTCTCTTCAAGTAATCTTCATTTGATTGGTTTAGGATTCTCATTTTTTAATGTGATAAAGCTCATGTTTGCTACTTTCTTTTTTTAGTCCGAAAGGCTTTTCAGGTGGCAAATAGCTGATTTCTACGGTCTGCAATGAAACCAATAATTTTCTTCAAAATTTTCTTTAATTCGTGGTGACCATACTTCTGAATCTCAAGTTTTGTTCTTTGATGTTAACCTTATTGACTTATTTCCATTTAATTCTGAGCTTCTTCATGATTGTGCCTTTTGAAATCAATCGTTCTTCTACTAGGTGGCCTCTTTTTAATATTTTATCTTCAATTTTTGTGGTTGAAATAACTGCTCTTTATTCACTTAATTTGAGTGCAAATAGTATCACGTGCCATCAGTGTCGTTATCTATAGGTCACTTCTCTAGCATGTTTCATCTGTAATTTTGTGTTTCAAATTCCTCTGTTTGCTTTTTCAGGAATGTGCTCAAGAGAACTTGAAAAGTGTAGGAAATAAAATTGTGTCTAATGCCTTATTTTTAATTTCTAAATCCCTATTAATTGTTGGCTTCAATAACAGGGGAGCTTTTAGATGCTGGGGTCAACCGCAGTCCGAGTGCTCATCTCAATAATCTTGCAGCAGAACGCAGTAAATACAAGTACGACGTTGATAAAGATATGACCCTTTTGAAGTTTGTAGATGATGAATGGGGTCCAGTAGGTAGCTTCAATTGGTTTGCAACCCATGGGACTTCTATGAGCCGTACAAACTCATTGATAAGTGGGGACAACAAAGGAGCTGCTGCTCGTTTTATGGAAGACTGGTTTGATCAGGATAGTGGTGAAGGGATATTTTCTGATGAATCTAAGGCTAGTGGAATCCCTCGGAGAATCTCAAACATTATTCCATTTGTTCGCAATAATCGTAAGATTTTAGTTACTTGCCCAAGTAATATTTCAATAGTACAATTACATTTGTTGAATTTTGGTTTGTAGTAGTCCCGTCCGCTTGTTTCCTTTTACTGAAACTGTGATAATGAGATTCTGATACCCCGTGTTCTTAGCTGTTTGTTATTTTTTTAATATTCAAAAGAAGGTACTTATTTGCTATATCGAAAGTGAAGTTGAAATTTGTGGACCTTTACATTGTAATTTTTATGGAACACTCTGTTTGCATCTGGCTTTTCTCCCAATTTTCCTGACTGATTTAGGGCAGAAATGATTTTTGTTTCTTAATGCTGTTTACGGAACCTTATCAACTTATTGACTAGCATTGTTTTGCTCAATTATACTATCTGTGTATCTAAGCTCCTTGAATTTTATACGGTATAAATAATATATCTGCTAATTGAAACTAGCAAAATTTGATATATGTAGGACTTCAAGTATACGCTATACAAGAGGAATTGAATATAGAATAACATCTCTGCAATCACTCATAAAGAAATATTTCTCTGGTTTTTGTTTAGCTAGTCTTGTGGTTGTCTCAATACAGATCATGAGCTGCGTGAACTTGCTGCTGCTTTCCAGTCTTCTTCAGGCAAATCGGCAACCAGATTTTTGAGCATTGCAAAACGTGTAAGAAGTTCTCTAAGACGAGCTGATAGGCCTAGATTCATTTCTGCATTTTGCCAAGCCAATTGTGGGGATGTTAGCCCGAATGTACTAGGGGCCTTCTGCATAGATACAGGGTTGCCTTGTGACTTCAATCATAGTACCTGTGGAGGGAAGAATGAATTATGCTATGGCCGAGGTCCTGGGTATGCATANGTTGCCTTGTGACTTCAATCATAGTACCTGTGGAGGGAAGAATGAATTATGCTATGGCCGAGGTCCTGGGTATGCATACTCTCACTTTTTGTTACTTCCAGAATGAAATCATAATTTAAAATGGTTTTCTAAGTCAATAGTGGATTTTACTTAATTTTAACAGATTATAATCTCATCTCTTGCTTAAATGGAAGGTACCCAGATGAATTTGAAAGTACGCGTATCATTGGAGAGAGACAATTCAAAAAGGCAGTGGAACTTTTCAATAATGCATCAGAGCAATTAGAGGGAAAAGTTGATTATCGCCATACTTATGTGGACTTCTCCAAGCTTCAGGTGACAATTCCTAAACAGGGAGGAGATACTGAGACTGTAAAAACATGTCCTGCAGCGATGGGGTTTGCATTTGCTGCTGGTACAACTGATGGACCTGGGGCTTTTGATTTTAAGCAAGGAGATGACAAGGTTCTGCTGCTGGATCTGTATTTCAAATATGGCAATGGTATACTCTTGTTTAGAATGTAGAGAAGTGTACTTATACTCTCACTCTCTCTGTTGGTATGTGTGTGTTCCCAGGGGAATGCTTTTTGGAGACTGGTGCGTGACCTACTTAAAAAGCCAAAACAAGGACAAGTTGATTGTCAACATCCAAAGCCCATTCTGCTTGATACTGGTGAAATGAAAGTGCCTTATGACTGGGCTGTGAGTTAACATCTTAGTGCAATTTTTTATTTTTAATTCAATTGGATTTGTTAAGATGCTTCTAACAGGAAGCAACTTACACTCTGAGGCATTGTATAGATTTAATAGCATCGAATTCAACACTTAATTCTTGGTATTGCCTAGAATCTGGAAGTAAATAGTGAATTGCTTTTACTGGGATATCATTTACTGATGCAAGGTTCCCAAGTCTGACATGTTGGTAGTTAAATGTTATATTGAATAGAAGTTTCTGAATACACATTTTGAGGAATTGGTATATGAAGAATAAAGCTTCTTTCTATTCTCATTAAATATTACAAAATCAATACGACCTATTTATATTACAAAGTATGGAATAAAAAAGGAAGACTCCAATTTGTTAAATAAGGAAATAAATCACCTAACAAATAATCCTATAACAATCCTATCAATCATAATATTTACAGTGCCTTTCCATAATTGGTTTTCTACACTCCCCCTCAAGTTGAACCATAGATGTTAATCAAGTTCAACTTGCAGCTGAAGGTCTCAAAAACTTGTTTTGGTAATCCTTTAGTGAAGATATCCGCAGTTTGCTCCTTTGTAGGGACATATGTCATACAGATAATTCCATTTTCCACTTTCTCTTTGATAAAATGTCTGTTCACTTCTACATGTTTGGTTCTGTCATGTTGTACTGGATTGAGAGAAATGTTGATGGCTGGTGTTATCACAATAGAGTTTGATTGGAAGCTCTACCTTGACGTTTAGTTCTTCTAAGAGTTTCTTTATCCATAGTCCTTCACAGATTCCTTGTGCGACAGCTCTAAATTCAGCTTCAGCACTACTTGTCGCCACTACATTCTGTTTCTTACTCCTCCAAGTTACCAAATTTCCCCAGACAAAAGTACAGTAGCCAGTAGTAGATCTTCTGTCTTCCGTTGATCCAGCGCCAATCTGCATCAGTGAATATCTCTACTCCCTTTCTGTTATTTTTTTCAAAGAACAGTCCTTCCCCGAGATTACCTTTCAGATATCTCAATATTTTGTACACAGCCTCTAAGTGGGCTTCTTTAGGAAAGTGCATATGTTGACTTACCATGCTGACTGCGAAGGCGATATCAGGTCTAGTGTGTGATAGGTAGATCAACTTCCCAACAAGTCTTTGGTATCTGTCTATTTCCACTGAGTTACCAAGGTCCTTTGTTATTTTTCCAGCCTCAATAGGTGTGTCACTTGGTTTGCATCCTAGCATCCCAGTTTCAATTAATAGATCGAGAATATATTTTCTTTGAGAAACACTAATACCCTTCTTTGATCGTGCAATCTCCATTCCTAAAAAGTATCGCATCTGTCTTAGGTCCTTTACTTCAAATTCGGTGGCTAAGCACTTCTTTAGTTTCTCCATTTCAGCTGTGTTGTCCCCAGTTAAGATGATATCATCAACATATACAATTAGAATTGTTTTTGCCCCATCTTTAGACTGTTTGAAGAACATGGTATGATCGGATTGCCCTAGCTGATATCCTTGATTTTTTAATACTTTGGCAAATCTATCGAACCAGGCTCTTGGTGATTGTTTGAGACCATATAGGGATTTCTTGAGTCTACACACTTGCTTTTCTTCATTTCCTCTGTTGAACCCTAGTGGTATTGTCATGAACACTTCTTCTTCTAGCTCTCCATTCAGGAATGCATTCTTGATGTCCAGCTGTTGAAGTGGCCAATCTAAATTAACAGCCAATGACAACAGAACTCTGACTGTATTTAGTTTTACTACTGGTGCAAATGTTTCTGTATAGTCGATGCCATAAGTTTGAGTATATCCTTTGGCAACCAGACGAGCTTTGTAGCGCTCTATAGTCTTATCAGCTTTGTATTTCACATTAAACACCCATTTGCATCCCACAGTTTTCTTTCCTTTCGGTAAGTTTACCATTTCCCATGTTCCATTCTTCTTTAAAGCTCTCATTTCCTCCATTACTGCTTCTCTCCATTTGGGTGATTCCAGGGCCTCATGAATATTTTTGGGGATTTCTGTTTCATCCAGATTAGCTGTAAAAACACGAAATCCTGTAGATAGAGTTTTATAAGACATGAATTTTGAAATAGGATGGAAAGTACATGACCGAGTTTGTTTCCTGAGAGCAATAGGTAAATCGTCTGGAGATTCATTGGAGGGGTTCTCATTAGGTCCTATCATCGGTTCCGACTCTCTTGGCGCCTCAGGTGTGAGATTCTTCTTGTACTTCAATTTAGGCTTCCTTGAGTAAACTAGTATCTCCTTGTCATTTTGTTTTCCAACATCTCCCCCTAAGTTCAAGTTGCCTTCTGTATATGGCACATTAGAAGATGAGGTATGTGTTGGTTCAGTAGGGAAAATGTCAAAGTTTAAGAATTCCCGATCCAAAAACTGATCTTCATTTTGATTCTCCCCCTGAAGAGAAGGATGTTGGAACTAGGGCGTTCTTTCGAAGAAGGTAATATCTAGACTGACAAACACCCTTTTTGTGGATGGGTCATAGCATTTGTAGCCCTTTTGAGTGGGTGATTAGCCAATGAACACACATTTGATTGCACGTGGTTCAAGTTTGTTTCGATGATGCGAGTGAATATGTACGAAGGCAGTACTCCCAAACACTCTTAGGGTTAGGTTTGAACTGAGGCGAGAAGTAGGATAGTACTTTTGAAATTTTTGTATAGGTGAGTTGAAAGAGAGAGTACGACTAGGCATTCGATTGATGAGATGTGCGGATGTTAGAATGACATCTCCCTAGAATGTTTTTGGCATGTTTGTAGTGAACATTAAAGTACGAGCAACTTCAAGTAGGTGTCTGTTTTTTCGTTCAGCAATCCCATTTTGTTGGGAAGTGTTGACACATGAGCTTTGATGGACTATTCCGTATTTTTTCAGGTAGTCTTGCAAAGTGGTATTGAAATATTCTGTACCGTTGTCAGTACGTAAAATTTGAATTTGTGTTTGAAATTGTGTTTGAATCATAGAGTGGAAATTTATGAATACTGTGCGAACATCAGATTTTTCTTTTAGTAGATAGACCCAACATAATCGAGTGTGGTCATCGATGAATGTGACAAACCACTTTGTGTGTGTACGATTGGGATCACGAGAAGGTCCCCATAAGTCACTGTGAATTATGGTAAATGGCTTAAATGGTTTGCATGTGGAATTTGGAAAATTTGTTCGTTGATGCTTTGCAAATTCACAACTTTCACATTGAAGCTCAAATGATGTTTTATTCAAGAAAAGAGAGGGAAGTACATGCTTCAAGTATTGTAGACTAGGATGACCCATTCTATAGTACCATAACAGAATTTCACTATCCCTAGAAACAGACGTTGAATTACAACTTGAAAATTCATCTAGCTTACTCATATCAGCTTCTTCGAAGTAGTAAAGTCCTTCACATTCTTTAGCATTGCCAATCGTCTTCCCCGATGAAAGGTCCTGAAAGACACAATATGATGGAAAAAATTTAGCTGAGCAATTGGAATTTTTTGTAAGTTGACTAACAGATAATAAGTTACAGGACAAATTTGGGACATGAAGGACTGATTCTAGTGTTAAAGATTCAGAGATTTTAATACTCCCTTTTCTTGCAATCGATGAGAGTGAGTCGTCTGCAATTTTTACTTTAATGTTTCCAGCACAGGTGGAGTATGAAGAAAATAAGTGATATGAGTCCGTCATATGATCGGACGCACCCGAATCGATAATCCAAGGATTTTTGTGTCGTGAAGTATTTAAGGCTTTCAAAAAGTTACCTTTGTGAGCTAAAGAACTAGATGAACCTTTTGAGGAAAACTGATTGGATGTCTGGAGACTTGAGAAAATTTGGTAGAGTTGTTCCAATTGTTCTGAATTAAATGTCCCACTTGGAGTGGGATTAATGTTTGTCTCGGCTTGGTATCCTCGGCCCCTTGTGTTTTGCTTTGGTTTCCAGTCCACTGGTTTCCCGTGTATATCTCAACAAGTGTCTTCTTTCTGCCCCGATTTGCGACAATGTTCACACCATGGCCGTCCTCGTTACTGTTTTTGGTTGGGTTGCTCGGCTATCCCTTTAGATGACAAGCCCAATGCTCCTTGCCCATTTTTAATTGTTGGTCCAAAATTTGTTTCACTTTCTGGCCCACCTTTAATTTCATTTCCAAGCCCCAAGAATGCTGACCCAGTTCTATTTAAACCTCCTGTTGCTGGGCCCAGATTAGCCGACCCATTATCTTTCAAATATGGTAGCCCAAAATATGATTTTAAGGTCGATCTCTCATTACTGTGTCCAAAAATTTCAGAATTTTCCTTCATCATGACCTACCGACGCGATTCTTCTCGCCGGACTTCTGCGAACACCTCGCGAGTGGAAGGTAGTGGTCACCGGCCTAGAACCCTTCCCCTGACGTCGTCGAGTTCTCGATTCAGCCCTGCTAGGAACTCAAACACTCTCGTTCTCGACCTTTTTCTTGTACCTTGCACTGTCATTTGAACCCTCCCATTCTTCCTCCAAGCTAAGGTCGAGTTCCTGCCATAGGGATACCATCTCCATGTAGTATTCAGTAACATCCCTCGACCCTTGCTTAGTTTGCCACAAACGGGTTTTAAGTTCGAAAACCTGTGATGCGTCCTCGGAGTCGGAATATGTTTCCTTCACGGCATCCCACACGTCTTTGGCCGTTGGAAGGAACAGGTAAGTCTTTCCTATAGAAGGCTTCATGGAATTTATGAGCCATGCTATCACCATTGAATTCTCGGATTTCCACTTCTGCAGACTCACGGTATCGGTCGGTCTTTTTGTATCACCAGTAAGATAGCCTAATTTCCCTTTCCCTTCGATGACCAATTTTATAGATTGGGCCCATTCTCGAAAATTTCTCCCGTCCAGTTTTTCTACTATAAGTTGGAATGAGGAATTTTCAAGATTATTGGATCCAATGGAAGGGTTGGCCTCTGCTTCAGGACGAGAAGTTTCAGAGGTCA